CAAGAATAAAAACTTCTGTGCAGTTCTTTAAAATATGCTCACGCATGCAAGAAAGCTTCTAGATTTCCTTTTAATAGTGACTACAGCTTTCTATTGAATTACCTTGATGAGGAAAATGGCTTGGATGCAGCAGGTCAAAATATAATGGAGGACGTGAAGACTCTCGTTTGCATTGTGTTTGTAGAACATACTTCGTATTAGGGAAGCTAAATAATATGAAAAGTCGCTGGGTAGCGTTCTGACCTTTTAGCAAAGTTGTAGGAAAATATTATGTTGCTCATACATAGTCAATATATCCAATGTTTGCCACTATTTGAAGAACATTTGTATTTTAGGTTGTTGAATTAAAACCGTCAGTGAGTGTTTTGCTTGCTATTTTCATGTTCATATATAATAAAATGAAGACATAATATTTTTGTTTTGTTTATGTTTCTTTCAAATTTTTGAATAATTAAACAAGTTTGTGCGATGCAATTTTCAGCCGGTATTTCAACATTATGCTAAAAATATATCAACGTTTGCACTCTTTCTGTGCAATTTAATTTATAAGTAACATTTAATTAAAAGTACTAGAGAAATGATGAAAGTATTAAAGCGAGCATATGCACTACGATAAAAACATCGTAAAGTTATAATTCAAATATACATCTAATGTTTTGTTCAATCAATGCTCACTATATTATTTCAGAAATGTTATGATTAACAACAATAAAAATCATATGGTGTAATACCCTTGTTTTACATAACAATATATTCCTACGAAAGGTCAAATTCCATTGCATAAAAACATTTAGTATACGCAAAATCAAAGGATGCGTATGATGTTTTCATGAGATGAATTCAAGAAAGTTGAAGTCGTAATCAGTTCAAGGTATGATACAGAAGATATAAATAAAGTTGTAATTACTATACGTCATATATATCAGTTATTTTATCTGTAATATTAGTGATTTTGTAATTTAAATATATTCGTGGCTTGCTTTAATTCTCAAGCGCTAAAACTTTTACAAAACCAATAGTACTCAATAAACATTTAACATTTATTTGTCGTGCGTCCCTTTAAAACAATGAGTTATGATTAAAGGGAAACATGATTCGACTATTTTAAGTTTAAATGCAGACCGGGAGTCGGACGATTCGACGATTTTTAAATCAATAAGAATTATCTATAACATGAATTCATAGTTATAACAAAATAAGGCCAAATTAAGCGTTATATTTATCAGTCTTCTAATATAAATATGAATCCACCACTGAATGACTAGTACATAGCATAGACACACTATAGATGAATTTTGACTGAATTTTATGTATTTTAAAAGTAAAATATTTTGTTTGAGCTTCTGCACTAAGCCTTTTCAATGTCTTATTTACGTCTAAGCCATCTATACGACGACATGTGAATCATATATAATTTAAATAAACTACTTCATGGTAGGTGAGTGCGTACGATTTAAAACTCAACGTAGACAATTCCTTTCTTACGAAGGAGCTTAATTGTTTTGTATTTTCCGTTGTTGCTTTCCTTTTGGACCGAAATGTAACGTATTTCCCGAGATATTCACGAAGTTGCTTGACGGAAATGTCGTCGATGCTTTGGGATTTATATTTATTTCGGCAATAAAAATTCTTGAAGAAGTTTATGTCCGTATTCTAAAAGCTCACTCACATTCACATATATTGAGAGCGACATAAAAATCACACTCTATCTAATCATCAGCAAACTCATTTCTCCATCTATTGTAAGATTTTCTCCTAGATATTTCAAATCAAGCAATCAGTTGAGAGAAACTGAAGCTTTGAATATGTATGAAGTGATTTCAAAGCCCAACTCATTGACTGTGTAATGCTTGGCATATTTCTGTGCGCATGCGTTAAGTCCACTGTTTTTCTGGCTAGTACTTTGAAAAAAAGTGATTTTGGAACATTAGTCATCTCATACGCAGAGTAGAAGATTTTGGAAGATGGCGAAAGGTTGTAAGAAAACAGGAAAGATATATGAGATATATATCTAGTGAGAGCTCATAATTTTATTGCTTACAACCCAGCTAGCAAAGTCACGTTGTCTCAACGTTGGGGACCAACGTTAAGTGAACGTTTTATTGGGAACTCGTAGGAACGTGATGGCGACTTTAGGATGAACGTTGGTAAGTAACGTATTTTCAACCTAAGCCCCACGTTTATTCAACGTTCATACAACATATATCCGACGTTCATACAACATATATCAGACGTTCATACAACGTTTATCTGACGTTTATCCGACGTTCTTTTAACATACAATTAATGATACATTATTTGTGAAATCATAAAACAGCCTTTCCAATCATACGAACTAAAGTAAATCGAATAAATCCACTTATATGAATGCCACTACGTACGTACGTCGGATATAAGAAATTATCTCGCGCTGCAACGTTATCTCGTACGCACGAGAAACCAAACAAGTGAACGAAAATTTAATCGTTACGGCACCTTTTTCACATTTAACCAACACATGCTTTTTTATATAAATAATAAAGCAGTTATTGAACTGGGTTTTCACGTAATTTAAAGAATTATCAAGGCATCGATGTGTTCTATCTGCCTCAACGTTGGTAGATTGAACAAACCTTGGCCTTCATAAGTCTTAATTCATATACTATTTCATTCAATAATTGTTTAATATCCCACTAAGCAAATTGTATATAAGAAATCTAATCATGCAATTTGAGTTAACAAAATTTAAAACTTGCACAAATCTAATATCTTCACTAAAATGAACGTTTTTAAAGGTACGCATTATGTACATGTGTCCATTCCATTTTGATTTACTTATAATTGAAGGAAAATGAAAGACACATGCTCACTTTCTTTAAGTGCACATGTCAATAATGTTATTGTGTATTTTTTCAATTTACACAGACAAGAAAATACAAATATGTTGACTATGATATTACGGAGTGAAATAAATTGAGTTCTCCCTGTATAAGTTGAGGAAATCAAACAAAGAAAAAATGGCATTTATATACCTTAACCAGCAATCTATGATAATGACATGATATCTTAAAACTGGAACCACCTTGCTTGGCTGGAGCATATTTTAAAAATTCGGCAGTTTGCTCTTCAACGTTGACCTCGCCGCATCCTTTATGAGCTCTGAGGCAGGCTTCTAACAAGTGAAACGAAACTGAAAAGGCATACTTGAAATAAATTGCATGGATAAAACACTAAATCATTATCGTAAGCTGAATGATAAACAACAATTCATTATAGTGACATATGCAAAACAGTTTAATGTATTAGCTTTTAAAACTTGCAACAATATTCCTTATGACAAGGAGCAACATAAATGGCTGTTTTTTCAATTCATGAACGAGAAAAGAGAGACAAAACATGGTACTGCTAAAGCAGTCATTATCGTCTAATTGTGCTTACTTGTTACAACTTTGTAGAGGGCAAGGTGTTGAAATGGTCGCTTTGACTTTCTGAAGGAAAATGCGCTCACGAAAAACACGATGCTAGATTCATATAGTTTAATCAGATAATCTGACCCCCTAACGTCATGAAAATCGTCATTAAAATTACGTTTCAGACTTTGACAAACGTGCATGTTTTCAAGCTTCAAACACAAATGGTAGAAAAAAAGTCAATATTATGTTACGTAATTGCAAATGAAACTATTGTTTTCACGTTTCCAAACCGATAAAGCGGAAGGCTATGCCTTACTTTGTCACATCTTTTTACGTAACACTTGAAAGAGTCACGCATAAAAATAGGCGGTGCCAATAAATATTACTAAATACGTATGGGTGGTTCACTTTCCAAAACTTATCAGCTTTCTTCTGGACGTTTCTTAATCTAGAGGACTAGAGGATAGGTCCTCAAGTTTTTCAACCGAATCTAAGGGATTAGGTACAACATCTTCCAAAATTTCGTGCTCGTCTACACCTTTCGTAGCGCTTAACAGAGCACGCAATATTTACAACGCTTCTTCTTGCTTATCAATTAATGTTTCCAGTTTTGTGAGAAATGATCTTTGGAAGCCTACAAGATTGATAAGAAAATAATAGAATAACTTATGTATAAACTACGTAACATCTTAAAAATATAAAACCTTACAACATGCTAACAAGGAATTTCAAATAAAGACTCGCATCAAATTGCTTATTGAATACGTGCACATAATAACAACGCTATTCAAAAACTATATACTGTAGAAAATTTACCATTAATGTTTGGTTGAGAACGTCTTCCTGCAGGTGTTATGTTCATAAAACTTTTCGAAGGCGCCTCGTGCGATGAAATGCCACGCGCATCTGCAAAGCAATCGCGTGTTGCAGTTAGTTGTGAAGAAAAAAAACCATTTCAAACGACACGAAATGAACGTAAATGAAAACGTAACAACAAGACATGCAATAAAGAATTGTACGAAAAGCTTGCCTAAGACACCACTGTTTCGTTGAGAATGTCTTTCTCTTGTTGTGCCAGTTGTAGGAATTCCTTGTGAAGAGACATTGCTTGTATCTACAGAGAAGGCACGTACTATGATTGCCCAAAGAGGTCAAAAATACGACTAAAAAAAATAGAAATATGTATTTAAAAATACAAAGGCTAACACCTTAAAATATCAATCAACCACAAAAATATGAAATAGAATTTCATTAAGTGGAAGTCCATAAATTCTTCGAGACAAAGTCGAAGACAAAAAAAATACGAAGCCGAAGTTGAGAAAAAGAATATGAAGTCGAAGTTCACAAAAAAATACAAAGTACAATTTCATCAAATAGAAGTCTGTAAAATTGACACGGGCAATAATTAATTAACATAATTAACATCAGATTAACATAATTAATGAGCTCCAATAGACCCGTTGCATGTGACGTCACAATCCCGGTGACATTACATCTGGAGGACAAGCAAACGCGACATGTAAATAACAAAGCAATATTATTGTCAAGGATGGTTAACTTTTGCGCAATTTATAGCTGTTCGAAGCGTGCTGATCGGGATAAGGAATTAAGTTTTTATCGGATACCAGCTGTGAAAACCAATGCAAGCAAAATATTGCAAGATTTACACAAGGAACGTCGCTCTTTGTGGCTTCGAAGAATTCGTTGGGCAGACATTGATGATTCTAAATGCACGTATTTACGAGTGTGTAGCCTTCATTTTGTTACTGGTAAACCAATGAGTTGAAAAAAGCTTTGTTGTGTTCGTTTGTGTCATTTTATACCATTTATTGTTTTGTTTACAATGACAAGGAAGCCATCGGCTTTAACGGACCAAACTAATCAAGACTGGGCTCCATCTCAAAGCCTTGGACATACATATGTGGAAAAAGTTGACGTCGATCGCTATGCTCGTACTTCGGAAAGAAATGAAAAACGAAAAAAAGTGAATCCGTTGAAACAGTACTGTCAGCAGTGACCCAATCGACCTTGACTATCCATCTTGTAGACGAAGAAAACGGAGTCATATCAGCCACATGTGCTTCATTGTCAGAATCAGAATCGAACACCAAATATTCACAAAGAGAACTGAGTTTGGATAAAATAACTGCAATGAAGAGCGAGATACATCGCTTGACCTAAGAAAATCTTGAGTTAAAAAACAAGATAAGTGACATGACGCTTGACGAGAAATCCTTCTTAAATGATGACGAAAAAGTCCTTTTTTACACTGGTCTGCCAAGTTGGAAGTCGTGTCAGCAACACTGGAACTGGTACGCCCCTACCTTATGCATTCTCCCAAATGCTCTTTGTCACCATTTAGGCAGTTGCTTTTAACAGTTATGAAACTGTATTTTAATTTAACTGGTGTAGATTTGGCTTATCGATTTGGAAACATCAACAAGGGAACTGTATCAAGAATTTTCTTACAAGTAATTTTTCTTTATAATTGATTAAGCCCTCTTATTTTATGGCCTGATAGGAAAGCCTTAAGAAAGACCTTGCCCATGGATTTTAGAAAACACTGCCCAAATAATGGTGTTGCCATCATTGACTGCTTTGAGATTTTTTTAGATTGTGCATTAAATCCTCTTGCGAGGACACAAACTTACTCATCCTACAAGCACCACAACACGATTAAGTACTTAAATGCTGTCACTCCCCCAGTGTACAGTAAGCTTTGTTTTTCAATGGCTGGGAGAAAGAGTCAGTGACAAACATTTGACTGAGAACAGTGGTCTCCTTGATAAGCTCTTACCTGGAGATGTAATCTTAGTTGATAAAGGCTTTGATATCCAGGAGTCAGTTGGTTTGTACTGTGCAACTATCAAGATGCCAGCTTTTACTAAGGGTAAAAAACAGCTCAGTGGCATTGAAGTTGAACAAACCAGACAAATTGCTGATGTGAGGATTCATGTGGAAAGAGTGATTGGAAACATTAGAAAGAAATATGCACTTCTGAGTTCAACTCAGCCAATTGATTTTGTCAATTCTAAAGAAAATGTGCCCACTACGATTTACAAAATAGTTACTGTTAGCTGTGCACTAATTAACATTTGTGATTCTGTCTTACCTTATGACTAAATAATATCTTTTAAAAGATTTTGCATGCATACACTTAAAATTGTACTAATAATATTCATAAGACATTTGATTTCATTATATTTCATTTATTCAATTTTTTGGGTCTTCAGTACCATTTTCCAGTTAACTCCGGAAGGAGTCTCCTCAAGACAAATTTCTTTGCTGCCTCTATCTTCCTTTCTAGAAATTCGTTATTTTACAAGATTCGTTCAACAAACAAGTCTTTCTCTGTCTACACAACAAAATCACAGTAGCTAAAACCTGTGCATGACAACTGAGCAATAACTTAAGAAAGTGAATTGCTATACATTAAGCTTGTTAAATGAAATTAGAATAATTTACAAATGTACTTGATAGCAATACGCATGAATTCTTTTAAGTTGTTTTGTGCCTTCACTTTTTACTTCAATGCAAAACAACCTTTCATCTGTTGACGTTTCAATTGTCTCATCTTTATGGCAAAATGGAAACTATCAAAACAAAATCAACAGGTGATGTAATTATTATGTTGACCTTTTCCCCATGAAACATAGACACAATGAATAACAAACCTTTATTTCACAAATCCCATTGCCACAACATTAGCAAGAGACAAGCCCATCTTGAGAAGCACCAAGAGATCCATGGGTCAAATGAATCCAGAATCCACTGTTTTTTACTGAAACATTTTCATGGTTTGTGTTTACCCATTTCCGATATTTGTCTCTTGCCACCTCTTCATGCTGGCAACCCCATCTTGTTGCTGCAGTTGAAAATTTCTTCAGCTCTGGATAGCAAGTGCTTGTAATCAGACTCTTGGAAGGCGAATCTCTGTTGGTGCGACAAGCTGCTTTGAGCTATAAGCAAGCAATGATCGTCATATTTTTTCACCAACACTTCACACACCCATCCATTCACAAAATTTTGATAACTATCAAGACTCTTATAGTTTTTAACTGCTCTTTCGTGTACGCACTGATCGAAAATAATAAATACATGCCACATGAATGTAGCTGACAGCAGGCCACAGATCGATATCGTCGAGCCATTGATTTTTTGGTATTTCGTACGGATCATCTCCATTGCAATGTCCTAATTTCATTTTGTAACACGCTTTACTATCCTTACACTGAATATTTTCTATATATCCAGGCAAAAAACCTTTTTTTGACCTAGAAAGCGCTGACTTTATGTTACTAGCCATATTAACATATAAAGCGTGCACAAGTGCTTGTCCTCCAGATGCTCCCCCAGCAACAGTTGCTAAGCGTGCGTGACGTCACTGCAAAGGGTCTATTGCGGAAAGGTGGCAATATGAATTCTCAAACGAAGTTGTACAGGCACCAGTGGTGCATGTAGAATGTCCAGGAAGACTGCGACTAAGCGTGAACGAAAGTGATGTGTCAGGACATAAACTTTTGGGATTTTCTTGGCTAGATATTTCTAATATGATTGGTGTTTCCCCTAGAACACTTCGAAGACGCCGCACTCAATTTGATACCCTATCAGATTCTATTTTTTCCAGTATAAGTAATAAGTCTGATCGCATGATGAGAGACATATTGCAGACCACCCCTCAAGCAGGTCGTAATCTTGTTGGAGAAACCTTGCTCAACCGAGGAGTGCATGTTCAAAGAAGACGAGTCGTGGCGTCTATTGAAAGAGTGGATCCTGTTACAGACATCTTACCTAGTCAGCATACAATTATCGGAAGATTTTATAGTGTTCAGTGCCCTAATTTCTTATGGTATGTAGAAACACCCGGCCTTCCTGTTTATCTTATAAAAATAGTCATTTTGCACAAGTTACAACTTTAGAAGCCTTCAAACCGCCCCTGCAGATTGCGCAATTTAACCAAAAATTTTATGTATTTTTTCTCTTATAGGCACATTGATGGAAGTCATAAACTAATTACACCATACCAAATTGTCATACATGGGGGATTTGATGGATTTTCCAGGTTAATAGTCTTTTTGAGAGCATCTTCTAACAACAGGGCTTAAACTGTACTTGAGCTTTTTCTAAATGCTGTTCAGCAGTTCAATCTGCCTTCAATAGTGTTTTCAGTCTACGGACTTGAAAATACGGAGGTTGGGAGATACATGATATCAACACGTAGATTAAACAGAGGAAGTTTTATAACGTTAAGTTCAGTAAGAAACAAAAGGATTTAAGTAGTATGGAGGGAAACCAACCGTCTTGTTGCTAGTCGATTTGTAAACATATTTTTATATTTGGAACAGTAAGGTGCTTTTGACTCGGACAATGAACTTCACTTACCTACAACTTGTAAACAATGCCTTAGAAGCATTTGTTGAAGGCTGGAATAATCATCCAGTAACATTAGCCTGCTATTATTCACCGTCACAACTTTGTGTTCAAGGCATGGTAAATAATAGAAACAGTGGATATTCAGCAGTTGATGATGTTATTAACAGAGAACAGGAATTAGATCATGTTGGTATTGAAGACGAGGGACCTGTGCTGACATTACAATCTGTTAGTGTTGATCAAGTACAAGCAGTGTGCGAATTAACGGTGTGCAATGTGCAATTTGCACATCGTTTTATCTAAAATGAAAACAACTGCACATCACTTTTTCAAACGATATGCAAAAAACGTCTTTATTGATTAATACTATAAATTGAAAAAAGTTTTCAGGCTTAATCTTTATTGATCTTTACTTTATAAACGAGTGCGTTGCACGACATTAAAATCCATGTTGGCACAATGTCATCAAATTTTAAAGACGTTGTCATTTTGAGACTGGGAAGACTGTCAACAGACAACATAAATGTGCTTATATGCTTGTGACAATAGGCATAATACATTGGGAGTAATACATTATTAATGTCAATTTTTGCATTTGCGGTGTTTTGTAAATCGATACGTACTGTTTTTGGCAATTGGCATCATAGCTATTTTGAGTATTTTCAGTAAAATCAGGAAACATGTTGATTTGATTGTTAAACGAATACCAAAAAACAACTTATTTAAAATCAAAATTCCCTTGATTTATTTTTCAAATTTTGATTATTAAGCCTAACGTGAGAAAAAGAAGCCAAATTTGGCTGAAATTATTAAGCCAAACTGGCAAACTTGATCAGCCAAAAGAGTAACATGCGTAACTTGATCAGCCAAAAGAGGAGAGAGTAACATGCGCAAAAAATTTCTCTCATACATTTGTAACTGGATCAGCGATTGTAAAGAAAAACATTGTCGTAAATCATATTAATTTGTGCACGCTTAAAAATATCAATTTAGCAATTAGCGCTATGTAATAATTAACGCAATATCGATTTGATTATGCTTCTAAAGAAACACTTTAATCAAAAAAAAATTGCATATTGTTTTTTCTCAACTAATTCGCACACCGAGTACAAGTGCCTGAATTACATTATGACATAGCACAAGAACAAGAAAGTGTTGTTAATGGGATTATACAAAGATTATCTTAAGATGCCAATGGAACAAATTGTTATTTAGAAGTTCTCCAATATTTATCGTCTGTTCAGAATGCTTAAAGTTTTAAGTTAATAATTACAACATGTCTTTCATTAAAATTGTAAACATCAATTGAGTAATAATCATCAATGGTAACACAACAATTTATGTAAATATGTCAACAGACAACTTATCCATCATTAAAACAGAACACATAATATATCAATATTGTTTTTGACAAAAGTTGGCAGATACATTTTAAACATTTCAAACGAGACAAAATCCAATGTACTCAAACTGCAGGGCATCGTCCATTTGTTGCTTGAAGTCTTCAAGGAACAAATGTTTTGTGGTCAATTGGCAATAATAAGATGGAAGAGCAGTTTGATGCAGTTGGCATCAATTTGGATGGATCTTT